GCTGGCAGGTTGACTTTTTAATAAGGTAAGAGTAGGCTGAAGATTTCAGATGTGGGCACTTGAGAGACCCTCCCCTTCAGCTTCCTGAGTTTTAGCTCAGGCTGACATTATATCAAACCCTGCCTCTCCCCACTGGGGATAACCACAGTTTATTTACGGGATACAACGGGAATGTCACACTAAATGAAGACGAAAGATGTGCAGGAAGTGTGATTGCTGCCTGTGCCTTCTTAAGAACTGCTTATTAAGGAAATTGTCCTTTTAAGCAGCAAAGAGCCACCAGAACTGGCCATGTTCAATACAGAGGCAGGATCTGACCTGCTCACCAACACTGTCTATTGATAACATTCCTCCTGTGGTAGTGATGCAGATGCTAATGAGCATATTAATAATAAATAGCACTGTGTGCATTTATCATGTCCCTGATTCAAAGGGTCAGAAATTCTTTACCAACTAGAAAGTGTGAAGTCCCAGAGCAGCTCTTTTCTCTGTCTGGAGCCTATTGCTACTCTAAGCAAAGGGACTTTTGTCATTGGGATTAGCAAAGAGAAACACTGGAACACTGGAACTGGAACTGGCAGTGGAAACACTGGATTACAGTCACTTCGGTGCTGCTGATTCATGGTGTGAACTTGGGGGAGTTATTTCAGTGCTCTGAGTCTCAAGTTAACCATCTGTAAAATCAAGATAATTATATTTACAGTGCTTATTTCATAGAGCTGCTGTGAAAATTAATTAATGCATATATATTTACAAAGTGCTTTGAGATCTTCAGGTGAAACCTGCTGCATATGTGTAAGATATTAATTCTCTAAAATACCTCGAAATATCAGGAGCTGCAGTGTTTTGCCAGGTATCACTACATTTTATAGTGCTTTTGCTCTTTGTCTAAGACAGTCGTTTTGCAGGTAGCAGTAATATATTGTGCTAATGGTGTCATACTTTGAAAATAATAGTTTTTCCCCATTCCTTTTTTTCTATCATACACCATGTACAAGCAGACTATAGGTTCATCAAACAATAATTTTAGGTCATTATTAGGAAATATATTTTGTGGGTTTTTTTTTTTTTTTACTTCTGTAGATCTCATCACAAAGAAAATCCCTGCATTTATTTCATATTGGCTATTCAAGCTTTGTTGGTTGTTTGTGATCAGCTAAAATGCATATGATCCAGAAAGAAGATACGTGAAGGCACAGTGAGGGACTGAGGATTATGTGTATTTATTTTATGTTCTATGGGCAGGATTGGTCTCCTCTAAATTTAGCTATCTGCATATTAATGGTTAAGCCTAAAGTAGTTGTTTGAACTTACTTTATACTCATTGGAAAGAGGTGGGCACTGGCTCAAAGCAGCTTGCCTGACCTTTTTTAGGTGAGATCAGTGCAGCTGACCAAATGTACGTATCCACTGCAGGGTAAATGGAGCAGTGCATGAGCTCCCCTGGCCTGTACAACAAGCCCTCCACTGGCTTTGGCACCCTAAAAGGCCAGAAAGTATGGTAAAAAATGTGGATATTTTAATCTGTAATAGAAATCTCACCTCAGAAGTGTGGCTTCATTAAGAGGATGAATACTGAATTATTTGGTGCAGGCAGATATGCTGAGAGTGCCACATTTCTTACAGTTAAACAACGATGGCTTCTACAGTGCTGAGTAGTCTGTAAGCATCTCAATGTTTGTAAATCAACTTAAAAGAACAGCAGGTTTTGGTAATATAAAACTCACATACACTCACCAGTTCTTATCTCCGCCTATTTCAGCTGTTCCAGGACTGTGCATGTTAGTCATATTGTGTCTAAGGTTCTCAAACTGTGGTTTTTCCACCTCCTTTATTTTAAAGCAATTCTTCAGTTTTAGGAACTCAAAGCCCAGAAGCTACTCAGCGGAAGGGTGGAAGGTTTCTTCCTTAATTTCTCTCTCTGAGACTATGCAGTCAAAGCCCCACAAATCACAAAATTCAATTCTTCTGTCTCTCTATACTTACATATACATCTCCAGATTGCTGCCACATCTAAAACTCACACAAGTTTTCTTCCTAATTTTTGCCCATTCTAGTCACCATTGAAAAAATTCTATATCCTAGATCTATAAGAAAGTGAAAAGAATATTTGCACATGCTCACCTATATACAGAAAAATCACAGCATTCAACTAAGGAAGCAAACAGGTAATGACTGTTTAAGCACCTTCACATACTTTCCCTAATTCAGTGGACTTTTATTATTTAGCACCAGCTGGCCACCTGCTTTAATATGCACATTCACACACAGACCTACATATGTATGTTTAGATAGATAGAGATATCTAGATTTACATTGGAGTCTCAAGAGAAGAATTCTTTTGATTTTCCCTGGACATCTGATCTTCCTTAAGGCCGTTGTCATTCCACATTAATTTGTCCTGTTCTGCCTCAGCTCACTCTTTTTTGTCTTAAATGCCATTTTAGGAAATGTTTACATGCCCCCTGCCTTCCTTGTGATACCCACAATCCACACGGGCACCTAGGGAAGCGTGCTGTGATCCCTCCTGACACATGTCAGCCAACATCTCATCAGGGGCTCAGCTGTGTCACCCCCGATGATATGGCGTGGCAAGATCAGTCCTGGGCTACATTACACCCAATCCTGCCCCCAGGGGAGGTGGGAAGGACTATGCTAATTGCTTCTGACCCTCCAAGAGCGTGGAGGGAAATTGCCTTCATTTGGTGCAACAACAGGATGGATCTGTTCAATGGAAAACACGTGGCTGCAACGTGCACAAACCACTCCAGAAGCCTTTGCCCACGTGCCTGTGGTGAGATGATGTGGCACAAGAGTTATGTGATCAGCTCACCTGAAACTATTCCAGATAAACACAGGAGCATGTTCCCATTCACAGTCCTCGCATATTTCCCAGCCTAGGAGTTATAAAGACATGTGCTTGGAGCCCACTGCATAGGTGCTGCTTCAGTGCCCTTCAAGAATCCCCCTAAAAGCCCTGGATTCTCTCTTCAGGGATCCCAGGAAACAGTGCTATCTCTGAAATTGAAGAAAAACACAGAAAATCAGTACATTTCAAAATACCCTGCCTATTCTTTGCTTTCTTGAAAGAAGGTAGTTTTTCTAGTTTATTGGAATCATAGAATGTTTCAGGTTGGAATGGCCCTTAAAGATCCTCTAGTCCAACCCCACTGCCCTGGCAAGGATAGCTTCTACTATGTCAGGTTGCTTCAAGCCCTGTACAACCTGACCTTGGGTGGGACATCCACAACAGCCTCACAGTAAACAATTCCTCCCTAATAGTTTCTTAATAGAAGGTATCACCTATTTTGCACAGCCAACAGAGTGCTAGATTTAGGGGGATCCAGGAGCTCCTTCTGTTGTCCAAGACTTTCCCTCAGTCCTGCAGAACTCTACCCTGAGCACAGCACACAGAAAAAGAAGGATGAAAGAACCAGCTGTTCTCTGACCTGGCTCTGTATGTCCCCATCATCAGACACACATTTCTTCATGTCTCTTGTCACTGTACTGAAAGAGAAATGTAGGACTGAGAGGTGCAATCATTCCGTCATCACATTCATTCTTTTCTTTTTCCCTTTCTTGCTTTTTGTCTTACCAGTACTCCTTTTCCTGCTTTAATCACACCTTACTATACTTTGTGCTTTTATGCATCTCCTGCCAAATGACGTGCACAGGTTTCTGGCTTTACATTTCCCTGGCATGCAGATATTGCTGTTTTGTCCTTTTCTGGGCATGAACTCCAGAATCATCACCTCCAACAGAATCAGACCCCTTTTCAGATCATGTGTGCTTGGTTAGGTTGTAGAAACATCTCAGAGGGGAAATAAATGCATGCAGTTATGTGAAATAGTTAAGCAACACTGGATAAAGAAAACAGAAATTTAATTTGGTAGCCTGTTTTCAATCAAGATTTCAGAAGCACCAGGTGCTCTAGTAGAAGCAGAAGGCAGTTTTAAGATAGCCTTACACCAAACCAGTTCCTTGCCAGTTTTCTTGAAATAGACATTGGCTTTCATCCTGCGTGATAGATATTTTGTCTCTTCCTAAGTCCCAGAAATTGCTAGTCCTTGCAGAACAAAATCTAGCACTGAAAACCCCTTTGCACTCCATGCCAAGGTGAACAACTTGTCCTACAATGCAGGGCAGGGAAAGCAGAGGGTCAGAATTGGGTTAGGCATTAAGGTTGGGACCCCAGGACAAGCTGGGCAGGGGGAGATCGTTGGATCATTGTTTGTTTGGGGCTTTTTACTTATTTTTACTTATGATTATCCAAGGGATGCTGAGTAGGTGGTGTAAGATTTTACTCGAATTGCTTATGTTTAAATGCACATATACAGTGCACACACACAAGTACACCCTCATAAGCACATGAGAATGGGTGTTTCAGTGTTTCAGTGTGGGGGCAGGGGACGGGGTGGGAGAGTGGAGCTGTCAGGACGATGTCATGGCAAAGGCATCCCATCAGCTAGAGGGGGAGATTTTCTGGGCCCGGGTTTGAGAAGCAGACAGATGAGTGACAGGGGTTAAAAGCTTCCCGCTTTCTTTCCCACATTGCCTCCTTGATGGTAAAGAGTTCCCTGTCCCTCACACAGAAGGTGCTCTGAGATTTCAAAGCATTTTGCTGGAAATACTGTACAGACTATAATAAGCTATTGTAGCCCATGGCAGAGAAGCCCAGCTGAGCCTAATTCTCCATATCCTTAACTCATCAGCCTCTGATCATAATGCAGGTTCAGTGTCCTAGAGTACCATTAAATAAAAAAATGCACACAAAAAACCCCAATTAGTGCATTTCATGATGGGGAGAGATGTCAGACTGTGCACCCTGGGCATAGCAGTCCTCTGCTTAGTCACGACACAGGCAGTGTAATCTACCCCACAGTCTCCTGTGGGCCTGACCCAGAGGACCTGAAACCAAAGGACAGACAGGAGCATGGTTTCCTACACTCTTTCATCTCCTTCATTTTCCAGCTGCCTGGCCAAGGCTGTCACATGCAGACATGGTCAGTTTTGACATTGAAGGCATCATCACCCACTCTCATAAGGAACAAAGCACAGCCACCACCACCTCCGACGCTGGCAGCAAGGAGGGGAAATACGTTAATGGTGCAGGTTAGCAAGGGAAATTAGGAGAAGGATATACAAATGGAGAGAAAGAGAAACGTGATTCTAAGTAGCTGTGACGCTCCTGGAGATCATTGCTGGGGACAGTGGAGAAAGTGGTGACATTTGGCTCTGAGTGATCAAAATTACAGAAAAGCAATTAAAAAAAGCACCTGAGATTTGCTGCAGAGCCCAGGAAAGTTAGTTACTCAACTATTCCTTAAATAGACCACATTCCTTATAGGCTCCTTTGCAAATTCCCTGGGTGGAAATTAATTGTCTGCCTTGCATTTAACCAGCTCCCTCTCCGAAAGAGGTCTGGGCTCATTCCATCTATTCCTCATTTTATCTTGGAGCTGAACGAGCAGGGGATAGGACCTATGGTCTTGTTGTCCAGCACCATTTCTCTTAGAAGAGACTGCATCAAACTTTCTAGACTGAGACACATCAAACCTCACAGATTTCACAGACATATGACCTCTCAAAGTTCTCTTTGGTTCATTGAGCCTGAAGATGAGACATCACTGTGACACTTGCACTGTAAACACCTAAATAGATGAGATCTCAGCTCAAAAATCACACCTCTGAGCATCATTATTTAAATATTTCTTTGCCTGAAAATAATTGTGCCAGACAACTATCAAGAAAACAACTTCTCCTTAGCCAGTCAAATGGGCAGCAGTAAATCAATGACCATGATTTCTTAGCTCCCAAGCCTAGTTGTGAGGTTCCTGCCTGGTGGTTGCAGTACCTGTTCCATCTCCAGGTGAGGCTGGAGTGGTTCAAAGTGATGCCTTTTCCAGGGGAATACAGCCCGTGGCTTAATAGATACTGACCCACTGAGTGTGTTTAAGTGGGTCTCTCTTGGCTACAGCATATTGGACCCATTTTTTCCACTTTGCAAGACCAAACATCCAGTTATGACAGGCAAAACCAGGAAATTAATAAACATTATATTTCTGTGGTTTTTTTCTATCAGTATATTCAATTACTTCTTTCTAATAAACAAGATCCATTCAGGATCAACAGGTCTCAGAACTGATTTTATTTTATTATCATCAAGGAGACCTGGCTTTGTTGTTAACCTTTCCATTTATTTAAAATGCCCTAGATTTCATATTCAATTTTTATGCTCCCTATTTCTGATTGTTTCCTTGAAATAGGAAATTCAAGGACTTTGATAAATGGATTGAAAGGTTGCCTCATTTCTCTGGCACTTCAGCCTTTGCATCCTCTGCAAAACGCTGTTTTGCAAATCATAAAGATGGGGATTGCAGGAAGTATTCATCAGAGTATGGCAGGGAGGGCTATAGGGGCAGAACATATTAGACTGTCCTAGTGAGGGGAAGAAGCAAGAAGCTGATAGGAAACATTTAGGAGCTGAAATTAGTACAAATTGGCATAAGCTGGCTGCCCCTGTCGTCTCTTTGGTGGTGGTATCCATGGACTGAAACCAGTTTTACACTGCCACGGTCTGTGGCAGTCTGGGAACCATGGAAAAGGGCCTTCAGTGGGTTTGTGAAAATCTGTTGAAGAATTCATTTTCTTATTTGGGACTAATTTACACTCTTTTTATAGTAACTCCAGTTGAAATATTGCTGATACAGGTATGTGTCAGACTGTGAGAGAGACTGATAGTTCTCCATCGCTGCACAAATTGTCACCTACACTGCAAATGGCAACACTTTTCCCACCCACCCACCCCACACCTCCCAAAGTATGATCACAATTTCTGGGGTATTCCATACCCCTTTGAATGAGGCATCAAAATAAGTGAGTTCTTCAGAAAAGGTTTTCTTTAATTGAGTCACAGATAATAAGCACCTAGTGCCAGAAGTTTCCCCATTCAAGACATCAGCATACCCAAACAGCACCCCCCTCTAAGGAGTCAAACTCAGGCCTTAAGTAACTGCAGAATGAGAAACCTTAGTCACTTAATCGGTTATTTCTCTCTTGCATGAACTGAAATAGGGTTTCTGTCCCTCCTACATCATTGCAGTAATTGCACTTCAGCTGATACCAGGAGCACATGGAGATCTCTCCTAATGCCACTGAGAGTGGTCACTTCATAGTGGAGTTGGTCAATAAAATAATCCCTGTGCCGCTGCACAAAGAGAGCTCCCTGCAGGCCAAACACCTGGGACTGCTGGCTCTCCTACTCTTCCATTCCTATGCTCTACTCATGCTCCCAGATCTCCTCAGCTGCTTTTCCACCTTCTGAGCCCTCCGAGCCCCACTGCAGAGAGCATCCCATGGGGAATGCTGAGCCAAAAGGTGATTGAAGGCCCAGTGCTTCACAAGGAGCTGCCTCCCCAGAGGGATGTGAGCACCCCTCAGCATGAACACAGCCAGTGTGAAAGCACCATGACCTTTTGATGATTCAAATGTGTGATTGTCACACTCGTCCCTTCACACACTTCCATCAGGGCAGCCAGGACCCGTGTTCCCTCTGGCTCTGCACTTTTCACTCCTTTTCTTTGTGCTACTATGGCAAGTAAGGAAAATGTTAGCTCCCCGCTCTGAGTCATTGCCACCCTCCCAAAAAAACAGTCGTGTCCTGAGCTGCTCTTTCCCAGGAGCTGCCAAGCACGTCCCAGTGTTCACCCTAGCTTCTTAGGCAGCTACAGACTACAACTTGTAGCAGGAACCATTAATACTATTAATAACCTCTTTAACATGAGACCTTTTCAAACTGCAGGACCCAAAACACTTGACGCATTTCACTACCTATGTGTTGCAAATCCACACCCTCCAAGGAATTTCACAGCCATCACTGATGCAGGCTGAGCTCCTGGCGCCTGCAGAGCAACATCACAGACAGACCTCAGGCTGTCCTGCCCAAAACTCATAAATGCGTCACCATACAAAGGAACAAGGGGTCCTCTGCAGCATAACAGCTCCCCACCGTGCTTTGATGTACCACCAAACAGCTCCACTTCTGAGCATTCCTGTTCACCAGGGCACCGTGAGTGCTGTGCAACCTTCCATCTTCCCGGATCGTTGATCCCAGCAGCAAAGCACTGGAGCTGCTCAGCAGGCAGGCTAACACAGCATCCAAAGATTCAAGGAAGGTAGAGTGCAATTCCTTCAGAGCATGAGTACTTTCTGCAGCAATGATCTTCTGTCTAGTCTGTTTGCTATTACATTCAACTGTCCATCCATCCATCCTCAGTCACCTTTATTCTCACTGCAGGTGAGCACTTACATTTCCATGGAAAGGGCAATGCAGATTTTTTCATCGATGGCCATCTCATCTCATTTTGATTTATTTAGAAGGCAGGCCTATTATTTTTTGCTTGCTTTCATTTTGGATGCCACAGCCATGAGTGACTTACTTGAGCACCTCTGAACTTTACTGCCTGTGACCATTTCCCACCAAATACCTCCCCTGAAAGGATTGATATTAAAAAGAGACCGTTTGCTGCAGGGAACAGAGGGTTTCTTTGCCTTTGCAGTTCCACTTGTGTGCTGGGGAGAGGCAGCGTTGGGAGGACTCTGTGCCATACCCTGGGGTGCAAGAGAAGGGTCTGGCCTGCATCAGGGTGAGACTGATTGTAAGGAAGGGAGGGAGGGAAAGGGGAGATAGAGACGCGAGAAACCGCGTCACTTCCACAACTGCTACTGCTCAGGAGAAAGGAGCAAAAGAAATATATATCTGCTTGCCTATTAATTTAAATCTAGACACAGGAAGAAGTCAACGAACTGTAATTTATGAGCTGTCAAAGACTGAAAAATTCCTTTTGACACTGTATTTTCAGTTATTACATGCTTTCCTGCAAGACGACAGCGTAATTCTGTAGGGAGTCTTCTAGTGAACAGCACAATGGCAGAGGGCAGTGGGGGCTTTCTTATTATCTTTTCTTCCCCCTTTCGTCTTCTCTCCCCACCCTTTCAATCATCCCCCCTTTCCTACCTTGCTGCTTGCCCAAACAGCAGCAAGGAAGTAAATCAGCAGTAGTCCCCACCCTGCCAGCCCTTCAACGCCTCCAAAGCAGTACTCAGTGCTGGGCTGGATCCAGCACCATGCAGAGATTTCTGAGGACTGAGGGTGATGGGAATGGAGATTAGGCAGTGACCACAAGTCCACCACAGACAAGGAAAATATGCTCTCGCACTGCCTCTGGCATTTTAAGCACTTCAGCTGGTTTGCCTCTGCCCATGCTAGGTACCTACCACTCCTGCTGGCACACCTTTTGGTTGGGTCTCTCTCACCTGCATTGATTGACAAGTGCCAGCTCCCTCAAATTCCCATAAGTTGGCAGCACTGACTGCCTGGCTCCCTGTTTCTCCATAAAGTGAGTCAGGACAGTGGATACTCCTGCCAAGATCCTGGGTCACACTTGCTCTCCTGGAGAAGAGCAGTTTCTCCTCTGTTCCAAGCCGTCCTGAAGGTTTTCTCCTTGGAAGGCAGTGCTAGGGATGGACACACCTGGATTGCACAGAAACCAGAAGGTGGGGTAGCATTTTGATGGTATTGTTTGCTGGAGGGGAAGGCATGAAAGGGCCACCTGCCCAAGGGCATCTGTCCACATCTCCATCAAGTTTGGGAAGTGATGACAGTGGCACCTTTGCCCAATGTCAGTTGATGGAGAAACCCAACCCAACATCAAATGAAGTTTGACCTGAAAATGTTTCTTTCTCCTGAATCCAACCTGAAATTCCCTTGGCATCCAGTTCATTTCCTTATCACTTGGGGACAGGACTGGGGGAGGCTTTCACAACAAATGTCATTTATCCCTGTATTTCCAAATCTTCCTTTTCCTTACACACACAATTGCTTTTTAATTTGGGTTGATGGTGGTAGTGGTAAGGTGGTCTTTTTGCTTTATTTTTTTCTTCCCAGCTTGGTTTCTCACTTACAGCTCAGAAAACCCTTTTAAGGTCTATACTCTGTGATAGGCACTTCGCCTCCTATTTAGAGAATCACTCCCACACGCTGCACGCATCCATATGCAAACACGCAGACATACGATTTTTCTGGGTGAACTGAACTACAAATCTTATGCTTT